AATAATTTATATATATAGTATTTTTCAACTTTATTTTTTTAAAAAAAAGATTATGGTGTAGTAGGAAGAGAAGAAGGGGAGGAGGAAGCGGGGAGAGGAAGAGCGTACAGGGGGATGGGGGTGATCGCTGTGGGTGATCACCTGCCCATTAGCCACGCCCCCTTTTAGCGGCTAAAAAAACATCTACAAGTACAAATAAACTCATGTTATATATATCTTTATATATTTTTTTGAAGGAATATATATCTATATATATCTATCTCTATTATTATACTCTACTATTATAAAAATTAAATATGTATTTGCTGATACTTTGGTACGTTATCCGTGTATAAGTCGGTTTTAAGTTCATTCGCTTTTTAAATACATATCCGTATTTAGTCAATTTTTAAATTCGTTCGCTTTTGAAAATACAGAAGGAGTCGCATAAGAAGTCTCTTTAAAAAAAATCGCATGCTAACTTGAGACGATCAGACTCCTAATTGCAGCTCATGATTTTCGAAAGCGAATTTCTACAATGAATTTTACCTTTACTAAACCGTATAATAATGATAAGATTAAAATAACCTTCGCCTGTTGCAACGCATGGGTATTTTTTCTAGTTAAAAAAAACTAAAAGTCAGCTATTATCTTGCCTGAATCAGAAAGCAAATCAAGCCTGATTCTTGTTGCTTAACTATTCGTATCCGTATCAGACTATTCGAAAATTATCTGCTCCTGACGATATATGTATTTATTTTTTCTTCGGAACAGACTAAAGGCCTGTTTAGTTCGCAACCCAAAAAGTTTTAGCGTGTCACATCGAATATACGGACACACATTTAAAGTATTAAACGTAGACTAATAACAAAACAAATTACAGATTCCGTCTGTAAACTGCGAGACGAATTTATTAAGCCTAATTAATCCATCATTAGCAAATATTTACTGTAGCACTACATTATCAAATCAGGGAGCAATTAGGTTTAAAAGATTCGTTCCATAATTTACACACAATCTCTGTAATTGATTTTTTTTCTATATTTAATACTCCATATATATATATTTTCAAACATTCGATGTGATAGGAAAAAAAACTTTTGTTTGGAAGCATAAAACAATGCGCTTAGTTTTTATCCCTATTATCGCTCCTTTGCCACTGCTGCATCTTAGTGGAGTGACGAGAGTGCTACGAGACAAGGGAAGAGGGAGAGGATAAGAAATAAGCGGTGGAGAAAGAGTCCCAAACCGACGGTACTATCTCCGTCTTAAAATATAATAATTTAAGCTCTCAGGATTTGTTCTAAAATATAACAACTTCTGTACCAATATTTTCTTCCCAACCAATCAAAACTCTCTACCATTCACTTTTCCCACTACCTTACTCCCTCTGGTTCCATAATAATTGACGTTTTGAACAAGGTTGATGTCAAACTTTTATAACTTTAATCATTAAAGAAACTAGAACATATATATATTTGTCTTTCAAAGCACTGTAATAAAAGTACACATGCATTTATTTATTATATATATTATAATAGAAAAATAAAATCAAAGATATATTTTGCAGTCCGTGTCATTGTCCAAAACGTCAATTAAAATGAAACAGGAGGGAGTAGTACTCATTCAATTACAACCATCCACCACTCACTTTTATCTACTTTTTTTAATAACCGTGCCTAACTCTAAAAGGGTGTTTAGTCGCTCTCACCAAAAAAGACTTATTTTTTTAGTGACTCTCACCCAAACACCCTCTAAAACTTCTTATATTTAAGGATGGAGGGAGTAGTAGATATTTACGGATGTGCTATCTTTGACTTCTTTTTCTGGAAGTCCCATAAAAATCGGTGTCTGGGAGAGCACTGATGATCAGTGACCGGAGAAGGCACTGATGACAGCACCGATGACAGCTGAGTCCACAACACAGCCGCCTTCGCCGCAGCCGCACTTCGTCCTCGCCCCTCTCGCGGCGCACGGTCACGTCATCCCCATGGTCGATCTCGCGGGCCTCCTCGCCGCGCATGGCGCACGCGCCAGCCTCGTCACGACGCCGCTGAACGCCACGAGGCTGCGCGGCGTCGCTGACAAGGCCGCGCGCGAGAAGCTGCCCCTCGAGATCGTGGAGCTCCCGTTCTCGCCGGCCGTGGCAGGCCTGCCGTCGGACTGCCAGAACGCCGACAAGCTCTCGGAGGACGCGCAGCTCACGCCCTTTCTCATCGCCATGCGCGCCCTCGACGCGCCCTTCGAGGCCTACGTGCGCGCTCTGGAGCGGCGCCCGAGCTGCATCATCTCCGACTGGTGCAACACGTGGGCCGCCGGAGTTGCCTGGAGGATCGGCATCCCGCGGCTCTTCTTCCACGGGCCGTCGTGCTTCTACTCGCTCTGCGACCTCAACGCCGTCGTGCATGGTCTTCACGAGCAGATCGTCGCCGACGACGAACAGGAGACGACCTACGTCGTGCCTAGAATGCCGGTACGCGTGACGGTGACGAAGGGCACGGCTCCCGGCTTCTTTAACTTTCCGGGTTATGAAGCGCTCCGTGACGAGGCCATCGAGGCGATGCTCGCCGCCGACGGCGTGGTGGTGAACACCTTCCTGGACCTCGAGGCTCAGTTCGTGGCGTGCTACGAGGCGGCACTCGGCAAGCCGGTGTGGACGCTTGGCCCGCTCTGCTTGCACAACCGGGACGACGAGGCCATGGCTTCGTGTGGGACTGGGAGCACGGACCTGCGCGCGATCACCGCGTGGCTCGACGAGCAGGTCACCGGCTCCGTCGTCTACGTCAGCTTCGGCAGCGTCCTGCGAAAGCTTCCGAAGCACCTGTTCGAGGTCGGCAATGGCCTCGAGGACTCCGGCAAGCCGTTCCTCTGGGTGGTGAAGGAGTCGGAATTAGTTTCGTCGAGGCCGGAGGTTCAGGAATGGCTGGACGAGTTCATGGCGCGAACCGCGACGCGCGGCCTCGTGGTGCGCGGGTGGGCGCCGCAGGTGACCATCCTGTCGCACCGCGCCGTCGGTGGCTTCCTCACGCACTGCGGGTGGAACTCGCTGCTGGAGGCCATCGCCCGTGGCGTGCCCGTGGCGACGTGGCCACACTTCGCCGACCAGTTCCTGAACGAGCGGCTCGCCGTGGACGTGCTCGGCGTCGGCGTGCCGATCGGCGTGACGGCGCCGGTGAGCATGTTGAACGAGGAGTACTTGACAGTTGATCGGGGTGACGTCGCGCGGGTGGTGTCGGTGCTGATGGACGGCGGCGGCGAGGAGGCCGAGGAGAGGAGGAGGAAGGCCAAGGAGTACGGTGAGCAAGCTCGAAGGGCCATGGCGAAAGGAGGCTCCTCGTATGAGAATGTGATGCGGCTCATTGCGAGGTTCATGCAAACTGGAGTGGAAGAACACTAGGTTTGTTTGTACTCCTTCCGTTCATGAATAACTGTCACCTGATACTATCTGTAACCAGAGTTTAATTACTCATAATTTCGCAACAAGTTTAGAAATATTAAGATTGTTCTATGCTCTCTCCATAGTTAATGACATGGTTAACTTTATGCAGCTAAACTTTTAAAGCAACTTTGACCACCAATAACTCTAGAAAACAATGTCTAGCTAGTTTGAAAACATAAAAAAAATATAAGGTTGATTTTTCTTTATAACTATTTCTACAACCAGGAAGAAAGCCTGCGCAAATGTGCGGGCACCTTATTTCATTTAATGTTGTTTAAATTTTTATTATGGATATTTATGTGTGGATAATATTTTTGAAATATTCTTTGACATCATTTTAAACATGTTATGGTTAACAACTGGTTTGGATAGTGGTTATGATTTTATTCTAATTGCCTTACAATATAAAATAATATTTTTAAGAATATTTGCAAGATGGCGTGAAGTCGTGTTGCGGCAGCATGTCTTATTTGGCAACCTTGCCAAGGGTGGTCACTACATATATTCACAATTGAAGAAAAACCTTAGAGCTGCAAAGAAAGAGAGAAAAATACTCGATGGGGCTGATCGTAAGCACACTCATCTTCTTCTTGTTTTTTTTTGTTTTTGACATCTCTTATGTATGCATGTACGCAGAGAGGGATTAGCCTTTCTTATGAGCGAGGGATTATTTGAATATATAAAATTTAGAGTAAATTACGTTGACGGTACAAGAGGGTGTGATTAGGTGTAAAAACTTAAAAACCGAGCGTAGCGGTACAATAACTTGACTAGGTGGGTGCGCTCATGGTGCAAAAGTTGCCACGCCATTGTTCCACCTCAGCGAAAGTGCCACATTATGATTGACCATCTCATTTTACAGAAAAGTCCCTAGTAACTTTTATATTACAATCACTTCTTCGTCAGATGTATCTGTTTTCCCATTGTTTGGTACTCCCTCCGTCCTACAATATAAGGGATTTTGAGTTTTTGTTTGCACTGTTTGACCACTCGTCTTATTCAAAAAATTTGTGTAAATATAAAAAACGAAAAGTTGTGCTTAAAATACTTTAGAATTATTTTTTTACTTACTTTATTATCCAAAGTATTTTAAACACAACTTTTCGTTTTTTATATTTACACAAATTTTTTGAATAAGACGAGTGGTCAAACAGTGTAAGCAAAAATTTAAAATCCCTTATATTATAGGACGGAGGGAGTAGAAAGATTGGAAAGATAGGACCCAACGCTGCCCGCCGCGGCGTCGACGGAGCAGCCCGAGGTCACCGAGCAGACGACCTCGACGTCCTACAGGTTCGGCAACACCGGCGGCGCCATGACCAGTGCCGCGTCCGCTGCTGGCTCCTTCCTTCCACATTCGCTGGGCGCAGATCGAGTCTCCGACAACATCGAGTCCCTGTTCCCCTCCTCGTCCACAGCCAGCGGCGCCGCCTCCGCCGGACGCGACGAGTACAGGGGATCCCCGCCGGACCTTCTGTCGCGATGACAAGCAACCAGCAGACGCAGTCACGCAGGAGCTATGCCTCAATCTGGTGAGCAATTTTAGGACCGACGAAGTGACACTTCTCTGTGTTGGCTGCCTCTACAGGGGTTTGGATATTCTGCAATATATGTAACTAGAAGTATATATGCAAGTGATGTATAGTTCCTGTAGGTTCTTTTGTAAGTACTCTGGGAGTGATTGAATTATGATGAAAGTGATATAAAGGTCCTCTGTGCTTTTATTAAGTACTCTGTAAGTGATTTTCCAAATGCAATCAAAAGCTGCCTCAAATAATTTGTTTCCAAATTGGTACGAAAAATTCAGAATTGTATGCTTCTGTCTGAATGAGACATTTGGTATACTTCATGCCCAACAGCCCAAGCGATAATCTGTCATAATTTTACCAGCTTGTTTTGACCACCACTTGCAATGTAGGGAATTTCTATACGCATATATAATGTGGGACATTTTCTTGTCCATAAATAAATCCAGGTAGAAATTTTCATACTGAAATTCATGAAGAAACCAACATGCCCATAACAAAATAAAAGGTGCAAAATAAACACTGTTCAAGAACGGGGAAATCAGACTAATGTATCTTATGAAACATGTCTATCTGGCTGGTATGAAACTAAATAAAACTCTCTGACTGAAACATATGCTAATGTTTTCCACATATAATTGATTACTAGCTGTTTTCATTTTTTCTTTGTCTCCTTCCTTTTCTTTGGTTCTGCTTGATTATTTGGCATCGATTTCTTATTAGGTGGTGCATTTATCTTCCTTGGCTCTGCCATCCTCTTCTTAATTGTTGCCTTGCCCTCTTTGGTTGCGGTCGTCATTGGTGGCTCCACTCCAGCCCTTCTGTTTGTGGCAATAAAATTTGATTCCGGCAATGGACCAGGGGCAACTCTAGAAGAGCTGTTGATTGTGTTCTGCACAAAGTACTCTGAAATTGTGGAAAAATGTTTCACAAAATTACAAAATGGAGAATTGAGAAAACATTGCCTAACCTCTCTAATCAAGGAAGACAATATGGCATTGTTTAACTGGTTGTAGTTTGGCTGACTAGTTAGAATACTAGTCTGACTATTCAGAATATCAGGCATGACCTGCAAAGGCACATCATTTTCTTGAACAGGCTGTAGAGAAGGAGCACTGGCCTACTGCTTTCCACTTTATATATCTTCCTTCTTCTTCTTGCATCCCTTCTTATTGTGATCAACTCCTTGGCAGTAGCTACAGTGTATTTGCACACCATATTTGGATATTTTTGCTCCTCCTTCAAGCTCTTGACTCTTGAGGCTGCTTTCTTCTACATCTACTAGGCCTTCCGACTTTCTTTTCATAAACCGATGGGTTGACCTTCACTCCATTCATCTTCACCCAAGCAGTTTTGTCCCTAACAGGCATTATATTACTCGGTCCATCCAGCGAGCCCCCAGGTGCTAGGAATCGGCCCAAAGACAACTATCTATCGACAAACCAAACGGAAAGCATAGGAAGATAGAACTCCATAACTCGATAGGCACTTTTGTACTCAGATTATGTCGCAAGCAATCAAGATAAATATTATAAAAATTGTTGAAAAATATGACATAACGTCTGTAGCCCCCGACTCACTAGTCAATAGCGAACCAGTTGATGTAGTGAGGCAAAGGAAAAGGAAAATATCATATAAAAAATAAACAATGATGACTTAGCTTTGTAATATTCCCCTTGGTGATGGCAGAGGTGGCCAATGTGGGAACAAAGTCGTCCATCAATAACAATGAAGACACCAGTCGGCGGCGACGAAGGCGGTCGACAGTGAAAGCGAAGATGCCCACCAACGGCGGCATAATAGGCCAGCCGTGTTGGCAGAGACACCAGTCGGTGGCGGCAAAGGCAAGCCGGTCGGTGAAGACGTGGACGCCCATGAACGGTAGTGTGACCAACCAACCGTATAGGCGAGGACACCAATCGGCGGCGACGGAGGCAAGCCGGCGGTGAAGTAGTAGACACCCAACAATGGCGGCATAATAGGCCAGCCGTGTAGGCGGAGACACCAGTCGGCGATGGGGAAGGCAAGCTAGTCGGTGAAGACGTGGACGCCCATGAACGGTGGTGTGACCAACCAACCGTATAGGCGAGGACACCAATCGGCGGCGACGGAGGCAGGCCAGCGGTAAAGTCGTAGACGCCCAACAACGGCGGCATAATAGGCCAGCCGTGTAGGCGGAGACACCAGTCGGCGGCGGCGAAGGCAAGCCGGTCAGTGAAGACGTGGACGCCTATGAACGGTGGTGTGACCAACCAACCGTATAGGCGAGGACACCAGTCGACGACGACGTAGGCGGCCGGTGGTGAAAATGATGTCGCCATCTGCAACGGCGGCGGAATCAACCAACCATGGTGATGAAGAAACCGGTCGGCGACGACGAAAGTGGTCGATGATGAAATGACACCGGTTGGCAGTGGAGATCACAACTCCGAAAATCCAACTGCCACAATGTGACATGGTAGCTCTAGAGATACATGCATGCAAATAGATAGAAAATCTAGTTAGAATCCGGAAATTAATATTTCCTTAATAATGCATGATCTGTTGGATCATGAATTCTGGGTAAGCCGTAGGCGACTGCTCCCATGTGCCCGTAGTGGCCAAAAGACGTCCGTCGGCGCTGCTCCAGTATTTGGATCGCTCATAGATAAAACCTCTATGTACGAGGACGCTGCCAACGGCTCCGTCTTGATCTCAGCCGACCAGCAGAAAAACACCAGAAGAGCAAATCATAATTAGAGATTAATCTAATAAAATTGAACAAGAATAACAAACCGATCCATGTCAAAGATTGGAGCCAACAGACTCGATGATCTGATCTGGTTCGTGAATTTGTATCCTGATGCTTTGCTCGACCTTGCTGACTCGGGAAGAATCAGCCATTGGTAGTTCTGGACGAGATGATCTTAATCTGCATGTGATTGATGCTAATTAAATTGCTGATTGATCATGCTTATTGGTTGGCTGGTTTCAAGCCACATGTGTCGGTAGCAGCCTGTAGACGAACTCCTTCTGATTGGATGGTCTCGTAGGCAGCCATGCATACATGCATATGTGGCAGTGATCAGTAGATGCATGCGATCGACACGGCTGATCTGAATCTCCTGACTACATCGCCGATTAATCTTGTGACCATAAATATCGGTATCATGGTCGAGTGTTTGTTCTCTTCCGTAGATTGAATCTCTCCCAACCGGTTTGAATCCAAGTCAGAGAGCAAGAGCTTGATGAAGTTGTTGGCAGCGAGGAAGTAAAACTCCCGAAACCGAAGATGAAGCGGACGACTCGTGAAGTTGATTCCATCACACTTGTTGCCAGCAAACTCGGCGAAATCCTACCTGGCGCGCCAACTGTCGAAACATAAATTCGGCAATAATAAAAGGGGGTTGCACACGAGACCTAAAAGTGGATGGATGCGGAGACAAGGATTTAGACAGGTTCAGGCCCTCTCAATGAGAGGTAATACCCTACTCCTGTTTGGGTATTTGAATCCGCCGGGTGTAGTATAGATCTGACGATCATATGTGCTCATGCCCCCTAGAGGGCCTCCTGCCCACCTTATATAGGATGGGGGCAGGATTACAAGATAGAAACCTTAACCAATACGGTATCGGTTTACTAAATCTACTTTACAATATTATCAAACCAAGACTTTAGACCGTTCCATAATATACAAGGAAACGTAATACCCAAGTCATGATCTGTTACATATTCCATAGATATAAGTTATCCCCTATAACTAGTCGGATAACCATGCCGTGTAGGTATGGGGTACCCATAATCTCCACAAGTTGGGGTTGAAAGAGCAACATCATCCTAATTAATCGATTCCACAATATACTGATGATCCGTGTACAAAAGCAATGATCTGAACCTTGGTACTAATGCAACCATGCTGTTAGTGCTTGCATCAAAATTTATTCTCCTTAGCCCATCACTAAATGTTTTCCCAGGCAATAACCAATAAACCTTAACCTTCCTCTCAGAATTATCATATCCTAGTTGCTCAATAAAATCATCAAGCCATAAGGAAGACCATGTGTCAGTGTCGCAATGATCAAACCAGTCCACCTTCTCATCCAAATAAATTCTACTACTGCCAACTCCACAAAAAAACCCACCATGATGCAGTTCAATTGTGAATTCTTCCTCCTCATGGCCTGCAATACAAAATAATTGGTGATGTGTTATACCCGCATAAGGAAAATAATACACTAAGATTATTTGCAGATTATTGAACTAATTATATGCTGCTGATAAGGGTACAAAATACATCTAGCAAGAATTTATCATTGCCAATGTTACTCTTATATCGTATACAGCTACAGGAAACACCAATAATTACAGTACAACCAATCTCGTGGCTAGTACCATTATATCACTTCATTGCATTGTAATAACAAATAACAGGATATTCAAGTGAAAGACCAAAATAATGTAGCCATTGTACAGATCAATGAGACCTTAACTTCGTAATCATCCATCAATTGAACAAAAAATAGAAATCTACAACCATCAGCAAGTGATTTGCCATAACAAGGAGCAGATGCTCCAAGAACTCGCCGAGTCGGAGCCATCCCAAAGCTTGCGGCAATCACGTCGACAGCAGTAGTTTGTGGACTTGAATTGGTTTGGTTATTGTTTAGGGCTTGAACTAGTGTGGCACACGGAGCCCTCATCGCCGCTGCGATGTAGTTGCACGGTTTCCCTCATCGTCGTCGTCGTCGCCGCCGCCGTGTCGCCACCAGCGCAACCACCTCTCGATCACGATCACGTCAAGAAAGATGAAGGGAGATATTTGTACGTCAAGAAATCATATTAGGGGGTTTTCTATAAAATGAGATAGGTCTTTCGCGTCAAAGCTGATGCGGCAATTGTGCTAAGGTGGAATAGTAACGTGGCAATTTTTGTTTACGTGGCAAATTTTGCACCATGAGCACACCCACCTAGCCAAGTTATTGTACCGCTACGCTCGGTTTTTAAGTTTTTGCACCTAATCGCACCCACCTGCCAAGTTATTGTACCGTTAACGCAATTTACTCTAAAATTTAATGGTTGAAAATAATACATCTACCGGTTTAAGTGTAAATCAATAGCTCGATGTTTTGTTTTTCTTAAATTTTTTCTTAGATTTTTTCTAATTTATTAGAGCATCATGTGGCATCTTTGGAGTGCGGGAATGCTATTAGTCATAGCTGCAATGGATTACTCGAATAGATATAATTTAATGGTTGAAAATAATGAATCCACCTGTTTAAGTGTAAATCAATGGCTAGATGTTTTGTCTTTGTTCTTATAACTTTTCTTAGATTTCCCTAATATATTAGAGTGTCACGTGACATCTTAGGAGTGTATGTAGGTGTGTAGAAACGCTACTACTCCTAGTCAATCTACTTGCTATTGTTAGTTGTGGCTTGGTACCTCTACTTACCTATCATTTGTTAATGGTTGCCCACTTAGTATTGTTCTTTATCTTTGGTATAACACATATGCTTATTATTGGATGTCAACTAATTATTAGGTGTACAGTGTACGAATGCCTCATGAATAGTATGACTTGGTGATTGGTGGATATTGCTTTGCATTTAGAACTTATATATATGGGGATTAGTAGAGACATACGATTGATATATTTGGATATTCATGATTGACAAAGTATATTATATATTGCATATTACGTTTTCTAGTAGTACATAGATAATAAATTTAAGGCTGAGTTCTAAACTATTTATCAGATTGGTTACTCCCTTATTTATGGTGAGCATGCATGTTTCCTAAACTACTAAACTAAGTGTGTTTTACAAATACTTTCTATACAAAACTTTAAAAAAATTAATAAATCTATTTTCGGGTTTGTAATATTTAATACTTAATTAGGTGGTATTCTTTTCTCCTGAAGATAATGATGAAGATTAAATATTTTATGCAAAACGATGTGGTATTAACATTGTCAATGTTACGGATAAGGCATACCTCTTATCCTACGACCTATGGAATACACCGATAAGGTATACCTTCATGTACACGGATCATTTCCATATACAACGTTTGGAATTTGTTCCAAATTAAAAATATCTATACGAGTCAAGCGATTTCTAAAGTCCTACTTGGAGGGGATAGAGTTTCTGTTATACTGTACCAGATCAAATATTCCCGGGCCTTACTTGGGGTCAAGACGATCCATGGTATAAAAGGGACCCCAGGGAGGGGTGCAAGGCATCAAATTTCATCACCAACATACCCACCATAGTTTACGAAGCCGGAGTACGCGGAGCCAAGTCGCCGGGATATCTCGTCGAAATCATCGACTACGATCTCGTCGGTATCATCTGTTTTGTCTACTTTTCTTGTAATCTGTGGTTCCTCATCATCAATCGCATATAAAGTGGACTAGGCTATTACCTGACAAGGAGCCTGAACCAGTATAATATGTCTCCTGTCTGCTTGATATTGTACTACGTAGATCCTCGTTCCAACGTACCCCAATACTCAACTCATCCGGTCCACGAGTATGACTCGTCGACAAACGTATGATTAATTGAGTTTTAATTATTACAAACTTGAAAATAGATTAATTTGATATTTTAGAGCAACTTTCATATAGAAAGTTTTCGCACGGAACGTGCTGTTTAGCAGTTTGAAAAGAGTGCCACAAATATTCAAAACTTTATCCACTACAAAGAGTGGATAAAGTTTTGAATATATATATATATATATATATATATATATATATATATATATATATATATATATATATATATATATATGATCGTAAATTTTCTAATAACATATGAATCAAGAAACCATAATATATGAAAAATACATTCATGATAAATTTAATAATGTTATTTCGACACATCAATACTATTTTACAGTAGGGATTGAATAAATTTTGAGAATGCCGCTAACAATTAGAGTTGTTTTTTTTTTCAAAAGTGCAAGTCTGATTTGACTATGTATGTACCTTCTAAAGTGATATAAAATTGTGTAATCTATATTTTTAATTTATTTATATTTGTATCCCGTTAGAACGTAATCCCGTGCTCTAGCGGTTTTCTTTGGAACGGACGAAAACTATATATGTGCTTCGTTTTTATACCTACTCCCGCTCCTTTGCCACTGCTGAATCTAAGTGGAGACTGGAGAGAGGAGTGTGCTACGAGACAAGGGAAGAGCGAGATGATAAGAAATAGGTGGTGGAAAAAGAGTCCCAGGACACTACTGTAGTAGATATTTATGGGTGTGCTAACGCCGTCCCTGACCTTCTTTTTCAGGCAGTCCCATAAAATTCGGTCTCTGGGAAACGCACTGATGATCAGTGACCGAGAAGGCAGTGATGGCAGCTGAGTCCACAGCACAGGCGCCGGCGCAGCCGCACTTCGTCCTCGCCCCTCTCGCGGCGCACGGTCACCTCATCCCCATGGTCGATCTCGCGGGCCTCCTCGCCGCGCATGGCGCACGCGCCAGCCTCGTCACGACGCCGCTGAACGCCACGTGGCTGCGCGGCGTCGCCGGCAAGGCCGCGCGCGAGAAGCTGCCCCTCGAGATCGTGGAGCTCCCGTTCTCGCCGGCCGTGGCCGGCCTGCCGCCGGACTACCAGAGCGCCGACAAGCTCTCGGAGAACGAGCAGTTCACGCCCTTTGTCAAAGCCATGCGCGGCCTCGACGCGCCCTTCGAGGCCTACGTGCGCGCTCTGGAGCGGCGCCCGAGCTGCATCATCTCCGACTGGTGCAACACGTGGGCCGCCGGAGTCGCCCGGAGCCTCGGCATCCCGCGGCTCTTCTTCCACGGGCCGTCGTGCTTCTACTCGCTCTGCGACCTCAACGCCGTCGTGCACGGCCTGCACGAGCAGATAGCCGCCGCCGCCGATGCCGACGACGAACAGGAGACCTACGTCGTGCCCGGGATGCCGGTACGTGTGACGGTGACGAAGGGCACGGTCCCCGGTTTCTACAACGCTCCGGGTTGTGAAGCGCTCCGTGACGAGGCCATCGAGGCGATGCTCGCCGCCGACGGCGTGGTGGTGAACACCTTCCTGGACCTCGAGGCTCAGTTCGTGGCGTGCTACGAGGCGGCGCTCGGCAAGCCGGTGTGGACGCTTGGCCCGCTCTGCTTGCACAACCGGGACGACGAGGCCATGGCTAGCACGGACCAGCGCGCGATCACCGCGTGGCTCGACAAGCAGGCCACCTGCTCCGTCGTCTACGTCGGCTTCGGCAGCGTCCTGCGAAAGCTTCCGAAGCACCTGTCCGAGGTCGGCCATGGCCTCGAGGACTCCGGCAAGCCGTTCCTCTGGGTGGTGAAGGAGTCGGAAGCTTCGTCCAGGCCGGAGGTGCAGGAATGGCTGGACGAGTTCATGGCGCGAACCGCGACGCGCGGCCTCGTGGTGCGCGGGTGGGCGCCGCAGGTGACCATCCTGTCGCACCACGCCGTCGGTGGCTTCCTCACGCACTGCGGGTGGAACTCGCTGCTGGAGGCCATCGCCCGTGGCGTGCCCGTGGCGACGTGGCCACACTTCGCCGACCAGTTCCTGAACGAGCGGCTCGCCGTGGACGTGCTCGGCGTCGGCGTGCCGATCGGCGTGACGGCGCCGGTGAGCATGTTGAACGAGGAGTACTTGACAGTTGATCGGGGTGACGTCGCGCGGGTGGTGTCGGTGCTGATGGACGGCGGCGGCGAGGAGGCCGAGGAGAGGAGGAGGAAGGCCAAGGAGTACGGTGAGCAAGCTCGAAGGGCCATGGCGAAAGGAGGCTCCTCGTATGAGAACGTTATGCGGCTCATTGCGAGGTTCACGCAAACTGGAGTGGAATAGGATATCGCGTTAATCTCACAATGAGACGATGAGCTTGTAAGATTTTCAACTGCATACTCCATATAGCAATTTCTACCGAGTAGTCGCTTGCTTTGTTCAGGTTCGTTTTCCACCGAAATCCGGAAATTTCGGGGTCACCGAAATCACAGAAATTTCAGGAATATCGGAACGCTTTTTTGCAATAGAAGTCTAGAAGCTACATGTGAATGTTTTATAGAAGCGAACAATGTTACATTTAGGACAGGAAAAAAAAGGTGAAGAAACTGACAGAATTGTGTTCTTGTTCTGTTGTTGCAGTGAAGTGAACAAGGTTTATCTGCCACTACTTTGGAGGATTCTTTAGTTAATTCGACGACTGTTCTTCAGTTTGCGACAAATGTGTTCCTCGGCATTGTGATTCTGCTCCAATCAAGGGAAGGGTATGACTAGTACAGAGGCTCGCGAACAAACGATATATATAAACGAGGAGAATCAGTTCATGGCCTAGAGTGGCTACATAGTAAGACTGCTGAAAGGTCGAAAGAATAAATGAACTTCTCAGCTCATATCTTCCTAAAGGATCAAATCTATAGGTGCGGCAGAATGGCTCCAAGCCCAACGACGAACTGTATTAGAGCATGGCCAATAGTATAGCCAACAGCTGACTCCACTTATATTATTTTATAGCTAATAAAAGATAACTAGTACAATAGATTAGCTCTTATGTAGGCTGCATCTCATTGATTAAATAATTAATTATACACCCACGTAAATGTGTATGATCAAAACTAAACTTTATCTGTGTAGCCATCGGTATGCTGTGAACTTGTGATATCAACAAGAACTCGAAAAAAATGATTAGGCTTTAGATAATTACTACTAGTGAAATGTTGATGGAAAGATCTAAATCTTATCACAATTGCATCGCTCCTAAAATCCATCTACTCTGTGTAAATAAACAACATGCATATATCGAGAGAAGAAGGGAAAAGGAACAGAGAAAAAGATCCCTAAATCCACCGACACAACAGAACTCAGAACCACTTCTCCTAGCTGCTTGTTTGCTTCAATCAACGGAACAACCACAAAGCGGCAGGAGATCTGGCATGGCGACAACGCCTTCTCCTTCTTCATAAGGAGAGCATTGATATAGCGGGCAACAAGCATCGATCTGATGGCTGAGCAGGAGAGGAACATGATCTACAAGGTGCATGGGCTTTGATCTGGCAACAGCGGCGGAGCTTCTGCGGCACACGTGGTTTCCAACGGCGGTGGAAATTGACTCCGATGAACGGCGGTCGGGCTCAGGTGGAGGAGTAGGCGATTTGTGCGGATGGAAGAAGTGGTTAGCAAGAGTGATGAGAGCCGATGTAGGGAAAAAAGTCACACGGTATCGATGGGGTTCGGTGTGGCCCCACAAAGCCCTTTTTGGGAATTGCTAAACATTAGTCGACAGAAAACATACCTCCAAATCTTGTAAATTTTGGTTCACTAGATGTGCTTCGTGATTCGTGCATCAACTTCTTCTCCTCCAACTCCGGCGGGTTCCCCTTTTTCTCTGGCTCCGGCGATACCCCCAACTCCGGCAGGGAGCCGACAAGTTAGGGTCCCGGGGTGGGGTGGGGGTGGGAGGGGTGGGAGGGGGAGGGGGAAGAGTGGGGAGTTCGCCAGCTTTATAGGGATTGTCGTGGGAGGCGGCAGCCCGGCGGTGGGCGGCGGATCGAGCGGGCGGTGAGGAGGCGGCGGCGCCGCCGAAGCCGCGGGGTCGGGAGCGGGCGGTGGGCCGGTGTAAGCGGCGGGGGCAAAGCGGAAGGATTGATAGGAGGAGGCGGCCGGTGGTGGCGCCCCGCCGTCGGAGACGGGGAAGACGGCCGCCATCGGCTTGAGGAAGAAGAGGACAGGGAGGGGAGGGGAGGGGGCCGGCCGGGAAGCCTCGTCGGCACCGTTGATTCCCTTCGGCCAGCCGGCGAGGCGGCCGGCGGCGCGTTGGGGCGATGGCGGCGGGGGATCGGGCGGTGGGGGAGCGGCAGCGGCGGAATGCGCGAGGGGGAGGGGGATCGGGAGGAAAAGTTAGGGTTAGGGCTGTGCACGAATCTCAAAGCATATCCAACGGTCCAAAATTAGAAAGATAGGAGGTAGGATTTTCTGTCAACAGATGTATAGACAGTCCCTAGTTTTTTATGGCGGAATCGCATGTGTAAGTGCGCAATCGGCGGGCATAGATTAGTCGCCCGTTACATTCTCTCTCTTCGATTCTCTCTCCTTCATGCATGAATTTAATGATATAATATATTTTGGAGTCTGCTGAGTAGAACTATTGTACCTGTTCTTACTCTCCAGGATGAAGCCTCCAGTTTTAGGGCATGCACGGAGACAGTGATAAGTTCACGGTGCTAGTGTGCCCAGCGTACCTTGATTAGGGAAAAAAAAGTTACTTTTTTAATGCTTGCACAAAATTTTCGAATAAGACAAATAATTAAACAGATATCAAAATATCAATGACGGCTTGCATTGAAAACCAGAGTATGAAGCTAGTACTTATTAAGTTTGCCTTATAGCTCATAAGCCGCAACAAAAATTTAATTTTGAAAACTTAATTTTAGAGTTGATTTAAAGTTTTTTAATCATAGCTTATTTTTTAGCATTTGTTTTGTAACTCCCAAAGGACACATATATACAAGTTTTACTCACAAATTATATTTTTATTGTTAGTAAACATTAGGCTAGCCAATGGCAGCTATACGTACAATTATAATAATATAGTATAATAGAAGTGTGTTATGATTCTGGACGAACCAGAAAATCAACTACTCCCTCCTTCCCTATTCCCTAAATACTTGACGCCGTTGATTTTTTTAAACATGTTTGACCGTTCGTCTTATTCAAAAACTTTTGTGAAATGTGTAAAACTATATGTATACATAAAAGTATATTTAATAATAAATTAAATGATAGGAAAAGAATTAATAATTACTTAAGTTTATTTTAATAAGACGAACGGTCAAATATTTTTTAAAAAATCAACGGCATCAAATATTTTGGGATGGAGGGAGTACATTCCAAGCATCCTTCGCATTGCTGACATTAATGTCCTTGAAGGATTGACCGAGGTCGCTGTCTGGATCTAGCCAATGGCGAAATCCATTTCGCTGCCACCTCACTAGGGCATGGGAGAGCTGTCCCCAATGAACCATATATTCTGCTTGATCTAAAGCTCTCCTCCTCCCACCGCCCTCGTGCCCTGAACACCTTCCAAATCACCTTGAACTGCAGAGCTTCGCAGATCATCACATGGAGCCTGACGAACGCCCGCCGGAGTTCTTCCACGGTGGTCTTGGCGGCGTCGTAGCTCGCCAGCATCACGACGGCCTCCATGGCGGATTGCTTCCCCCGTGGCACTTTCCAAGGGTTCTCATTCCCTCCATCGATCAGGTCCATGTAGTTATGCGATATCAGCAATGTCATGGCCTAAACCGCCTCTGAAGTCCGGCATTAGGTGCGAAGTCACATAGACTTCTCTAATGTAGGACGATTTATATGTCCCACCCTACGGCAGGGCGGGAGGAGTATATTTCTGAAAAAACTTTAAAACGAGAATTTATTTTTTAAATGTAAATATAAAAATAAAAAAATTCAGTGAGTGAGCACAATACAGTACTGTGTGGTACTGTAGCAAAGATAATACCGTTACTAGCGATGAAAACAGTCAGAAACAATTGGAAAACAACCTCAACCATTTTCATAACCATATTTTTCTCGCAAATGAAATCGAAAATGGTTAAGTCGGGAACGAAAACAATATCAGAAAAATCGGAAAACCAGAAAAGGAACAATAGAAACGAAAACATATTGGTACATGTCATAAATCGGTAACAAATACGAAAACATTAAACTATAAAACATATTTTTAACTTTACATAAGTGTTTTATATGTATAAATAAATTCAAGCTTATACTATACACATTATAAATTAACACCATTTTAGCCATGCACTCGAGTTAGAGATTTGATTGAAGAGTCAATCAATCTCTAAACTGTGTCAAGTAGAGACATGTTCTATAAATATTTGACATATTTAGAAATAAGGTGATTACCATATTCTGAAAAATGGCAGCTTCCACAAGAATACGGTAAATATGGAAACAATCCATTTTTTTTACCATTTCCATTTTCGTTTCGGTCGATTACCATTTCCATATGGCTCGGCGGGTAGAAAATCAGAAACGAACGTTGGTCGGCCAAGAATTACCATTACCGTTTTCACCCCTAACCATTACCACCTCTCTAGGTCGGGCTGAGAAGCACTAGCTTATAAGGATGGATTGCCGAATACTTTAACGCAGGATTCACATCATTTTGTACGAAGCAAGAATGAAAGCGCAGTGTTACAGTATAGGTATGGGCCCAACATTCACTTGGGCCTTAAACCGGTTTTAGGCCCTGGGCGTTACAATTAAGTACTGAAACTTTACAGATGCACCATATAAAGAGATTCGGATGAAATATTATACTATACTCTCCAAGTTCATACTTGTAAAATCCATATTATCTTCTGAACGTCAACTTGGAATGTATTTGATAAAAACCATATTATCAACTTGGAATGTATCTGATGTGAAATGTGTTCGCCATGTTTCTAAAATCCATATTAATTATCAACTTGGAATATATCACTGGTGGACTAAAGATAATTGTAAAATCTTTATGATCTTTAGTCCCGGTTAAAAAAATTACACCAACCGGGACTAAAGATCATTTTTAGTCCCGGTTCAAAGAAGTTGGTGGGTACAGTTAATCTCCAATTATCTTTAGTCACAACCGGGACTAAAGATCTATTTTTAGTCCCGGTTGTTTATACCAACCGGGACCAAAATAAATTATCGATATCTTCTCGGTATCCCCTCCCCTTTTTTCTCTCCTTCGTTAAAAACCACCGAGACTTAGTCTCGGTATCCGCCTCCTCCCCTTCTTCCTTCTTCCTCTCCCCTTCCTCCCCCTTCCGGCCTTCCCCTCTCCTCCGATCCCCCTCCCCGCCTCCTCCTCCTCCTCCTTCCCCTCTCTGCTGCGGCCGGGCGGCAGCGACGAAGCGAGCTGGCCGCGCGGCGGCCGTGCGGCGGACGGTGGCGGCGGCCGTGCGGCAGCGGCGGAGCGAGGCAGCCGTGCGGCGGACGGGTGGCGGTGGCGGCCGGTGGGGCCGCGCCCGACGGCGGTGGAGCGAGGCGGGCGCACGGCCGTGCGGCGGCGGCCGGGCGGTGGCGGCGGAGCGAGGCGGGCGCACGGCCGTGCGGCGGCGGCCGGGCGGTGGCGGCGGAGCGAGGCGGGCGCGCGGCCGTGCGGCAGCGGCGGAGCGAGGCGGCCATGCGGCGGTGGCTGGTGGGGCCGCGCCCGGCGGCGGCTGGCAGGCGGCCGGCGGCAGCGGCAACCCATTTGCACATTTGTGTGGATAGTTTTGTGATTCATTGCACGTTTGTATGGATCTGTGATGTGTGTGATATGTTTGTAATTTTTGTAGGATTTGTGATGTATTTGATTTGTATGTATAAGTAACTTTAAGATTTGGGATGTTATTTTGATTTGGGGATTTGGGTTTGATTTGAGATATATATCCCACTCGATTCGGGAGAAAATAAAAAAGAAAAAAAAAGAAAAGGGGACCATCTCACTGTCGCTTCCCTCTTTTTAGTCCCGGTTGGTGTTATCAACCAGGACTAAAGATCCCCTCT